ACTTCTCCACTCGCGCCCGCCCCCGACCGCGGAGCCCTTGCAGCCATGAGGGAACAGCTCAAAGGGTAAGTGGATTGCGGCCCCGGCCCCCTCTGATCGCCGCAATCTGTGCACTTGTGGCGCGAACAAGGGGGCAAGCTGAGGCGGTCAAAACTTGGACCGGCGCGGCGGCTGGATCCCGGGCGGCTGGACGACTAGGAACCTCGCCCGCGGGTCCCCACGGCGCCGTTGCAGGTGCGCCCCCGGGGCTTCTCCCCCGGCGCCCGGCTCGCGGGGAGCCTCTTCTCCCGGCTTTGGGACGGGCTTGGAGAGAAAAGGCTGATTTCTCGCCGTACCCAGAGGGGACAGCGCATTCCTCACGCGAGGATTGGGGCTGGGGGAGCTTTTTACTCCTTTCCAAAGGGCTGCCGGTGTGGACGTGAGGAAGACAGGCTGTTCCTAAATCGTCGCTCGACCTCGCGGAAGGAAGGGGCGCGCGCCGCTCTACCTTCCATTGCACTGCAAGTGCCAAAAGGTCAACTTTCTGCCTGATTTCTTCCGAGGATTCCAACTGACATTTCCCTCGCTGCATTTTCTACCGTGCTCAGCCCATGCCCCAAGACCTGCAGAAATTAGGAAAGAAACAGCAAACAACTAAAGCTCAGAAGTCAGGGATTTGGGTGGGGTGGGGGGTGTTTGTTCGGTTGATTGAGCTTCTTTCTTGCTTTCTTTCTTTCTTTCTTTTCCTGTCCCCTGGGGTTAAGTATGGAGTCATTTCTGGAGTGTCCTTCCCTCGCGTATCTCCAGGTGTCTGTGCTCGTCTTTAAGCAAAGTTTTGTCATTCCCAGTCCGAGCACGGCAATGAAAAGAGCAGGGCGCTTTGCTTATCTGTTAAATTTGAAGTTGTTTCAAGCTTCAGTTGAAGGGGTTCAGTTGCTTAGACATCATGGGAAAAAAGTCTATCCGATTTAAGTGGTGAACTTTAAGTGGTGTCTTTAAGTGAAGTCTACATTCTTTCTTAGAATAAACTCATCTTGGTCTCTCTGCTTCTTCATCCCTGCCACCTCTCCTTGTCACTCCCCATCACCCTTTCTTTTTGTCTAGATATTTCATTTCCTTTTTCCCAAGCCCCTCTTTGGAGGATACAGTTGCTCTTGGAGAAGTGAGAGGAGCAAATGAAACAACATGGTTATATGAAAGGTCTCTGACCCTTGAACACCGTGGAATTGGTTTCAGTCATCATTGTTTGATTTTGGATTGGATACGACCCTGAAAAGAAATTGCTTTGGCCAAAGTTGAGGGGGGGTTGGGAGTTAAACCTTAAAAAGCAAATAGAAGGGAGGACAAGTAACAGCTGGAACAGCCACGGAGGCAATCATCTTTGCCCTGGCTTGAGCCAAACAGAATAAAATGGTAAATATCCTAGGAAACAAGAAATGGGAAGTACAATAGGATTTCTGATGCTTAGATTGACACCCACCCTGGGCAAGCCCTTGCCCCACGGTAGCAGAAACTTTTAAATATATTTTCCCATCCCTACCCTGCCAGTATTCCAACAATGCAAGCCAAGTTCAACAATTCAGCATGCAAATACCAAGGTTCCTCTAAAAAAAAAAAAAAAAAAAAAAAAGTCTGATCCCCAGATTAAAGGGAAATCATTTGTGTGTGTGGATCAATGGGCTCCAGATTATATATGAAGCCAAACTCTAATCCTCTGCAAATCGCAAGAGAACGCTACCTTTTTATATCGCTGCATAGTGATTAGATTGCTCCCTGGGAAGTAGTGGAAAGATATATATATATTTTTTTTACTTTAAAGAATATTTTCAGTACCACATAACAGTGGTGGCAGAAGAAATCTTATTTTAATTAGGCAACTGCCATTTCCCCAGTGAGAGCAGTAGATATCTGTTACTTTTTATAAGTGTTTAATGTTTGTTTTTAAGAAACTAAAAAAGCAATTCCAATAAGTCTGATTATTCCAGCACTGACAGCAGGAACAGCTCTGAGGCAGTTATAATAACCTTGCACACTACTTGAAACTAAAGAAGGTGAGAGAAAATTTAAATTGTATGGTAGGAAATTAGGTCAGCCCTGTGCTCAGCAGAGTAATGCTTTAATTTCTTATTATTGACAAGTGGGTGTTGCTGGGGCCTTCTGTCCTAGTCAATGATTTTATATTTTAATTTAGGGAAAAAGAGATTTTGTGGTTTGTACAGATAAAAAAACAGGGGAAATCTTAGTTTGACTACTGCTCAGAGAAGTATATCTGATGCCAGCTTTTAGAACCAGCAGGGCCAAAATCAATAACATTTTTTCAAAATTTAAGGAACATTTTAAAAATTATTTATGAAGCCAATCTCTGTGTTAATGTTCATACAAACCTGTGGTCTGTGTTGAACATTATTGTTCTCAGGAAGACTGAACAAAGATGTACCTATAAACGTGTGAACAGGTTTCAGAATTTCTTTTTTGGTTGGACATGGTATATGGGAATGCATTTCCGATGTGGAGAGTGAAGTGCAGAAAAAGACAATTATCAAAGCCAGTGCCACCCATCCTTCCTAGCATAGCGTATTTTTCTATATTGTCTGCATATTCCAGGTAAGTGTGACCTTCTTCTCATGGGGTTATTGAGAATTCTCTACTGTTTTTGAAGACAGGCACAGAGTAAGAAACATAGCAGCAAAATTGATCACATACGAAAAATTGGTTTGTCCTGCAAGGTTGAATATAGATGAGTTATGCAGATTTGTGCTTACTATTTCATTCAGTTTATATTCATATTTCCTATCTATTTGGGGGAATTTAGTGTGTCTTAAGACTTTGGGTTCATCACAGGTAGAAAATACCCACATAGAGTGGCGTGAATATTTGGTCCATTATATAGTTACCAATAAATTTGAAGTGCTTTCAGCTATGTTGCCAAGCATTTTCAGCATAAAATGATTAAAAGATTATTTTTCTCGTTTTGAGGATTAGTCACACTCTATTCTTTTCTTTCCACTTGTGCTCACTTCTTTTGCTTAGTACTGGTTTGCAATTGAAGTGAAACTAAGACTACAAAAGTAAAATCTAAATCTGTTTTCATAGTTCCTTTGCATTGCTTAAAAATAAACAGTTTGTGTGTTAGAGGAGAAAAGATTGCCTTCTGGAATTGTTTGAGGAATTCATTTATCCATGTTATTCAAGTCCTCCAGAATCACAGGTAATTGGGAGAATAGTACCTATCAAGGACTAGTATCTTAACTCACAAATGGAGGATGGAATTGGGGACTTAGAATTTTTCTAGTCTTCCAGTAAAGAAAATTTCAGTTTTACTAAGAACTGTTAGATTGAAAAATAATTTCTGAAACCATTTTCATAATTTTTAAACTCGCAAATAAATTCCTTAAAAAGGCAGAAATGTAGGTATGTCAACATTCATGAGATTTCTTTTGGGGGTGAGGTGCTTCATGGAGCTCTCATTCAAATTCTCTGTGCAGAATTCTCCTGTAAATTGTTTTCACCATTTATTTTTCTTTTTAAGCTGTGTTTGGTACAAGTTTATTTCTGATCTATGTTTCTCCGATTTGAAGTCCATTCCAGATGGTGGCTTTTCAGGGTGGTTCTCTGTCTCTGTCTCTGATTAGGTTTATCAGCTCAGCCAAATGTTTTTCTACAGATCTATTGAAGATTATATAGTTCTCGCAAATGTCCTGGAGATTGGACGCTATTATTGTGCAGTGTGCCTAGCAAGGGCATATACATGTGGGCACATGTGCCTTTCCCCTCTTCTCCCTTCCTCTCTCCCTGATGCTTATATCTGGATGGATTTGGGAAATGGGGGAAGCCTGAATGCAGGGTGGTCTCAATAGAAGGTAACTTTTCCTTGCTCTGCACTTGTGTGCGGGATTGGTACACAATCACTTTTTGAGCTAAAAAATGCCTGAGTATAAGCAACACTTTTTCCACGAAGCTGCAAGCTGCAGCCTCCTTGTGCTGTGCATATAAAGTACCAGTTCCGCCCACCCCTTCTTCAAATCCTAAATCGGTGTGGTCATGGGGTTTCCTAAAACCCCCAAAAACATAGAGCCGGCATCTCCTGCTCTTCTTGTTCTTTAAGACTTGAATGTCACTCTGTTTCATTCCCTCAACTGGTAAGCCCTTGTTGTACTCCTCAAATGGGAATTGTCTCTGTGGAAAAGTAAACCAGAAATGAACATATTTGGAAGGGAGTGAAATCGCCCTTCACAAGTGAACATTTTCTTGGAAATTGATTTCAATAGCTTTCACTGTTCAATCATTGGTAAATATGGCAGGGGTGGTCTTTGAAATTGTACAGTTTGGGTAATTTTCATATGTCTTTGTGAGATTTATGATTGTACGATAAGCTACCTTAAATGTTTCTCTTTTTTACTTATTTTTAAAATAAGATATAGGTAATAACATGTTGAGTGTTAGTTTTGCTCTCTAGGAAGGGTTTTTCTTAGGCTTGACTGACTTAACTTCAGTTGAATACACATCTATACCGTAATCAACAAATAAAATACTTGCTTTTAATGAATGATCATTCGGGGCCATATAACAAACATGACAACATACAGAGCATCAAAAAGTGCCAGTCATTTCCATATATCATCTAATACTTTCATTCTCCAAAGTGAGCAGGTTTGCCCCAGTTTTCACAGCTAGTAGGGTACAGAGCCCTAAAATTCGAAGCCTACAGTAAGGCCATTTGACATTGTTGTCTCTCCAAACAACTCTTTTTGTGTGAGTCCTTGGTACTACTTTCTGGTGCTCTTGAAGTACCCAAATTTAAGCTATTTCTCCTTTTTTTATCCCCACCTTTCCCCCCATATGATTATGAGTAGATTCTGCATATAAGTACCCAAATATTCAAGGCTGCATTTTACTGTATCAAAGCCTGTCATGTAATCCTCGAAGACTGGAAATACGATGCTATGGTGATTTATATAGACGAGCCAAAGTAAGGAAAAGTATATGTAGTTATCTCTCCAAGGTTTATTCATGTAATTGAATGAGAAACAAAGGTGTTTTGTTCTTTTTGTGGCATGAGCTGATAGCTGGCCACCACACTTCAAAAAATAGAAGAGAACTGTGAATGCTTCATTCAGGCCCAAGAAAATATAGGAAGAGGTATAATGTATACAGTACTGAGTTAAACAAAATTCTAAAAGTAATGGGAAGAGGGAAGGTATGATATATTAGTCAGGCGCTGAATATACCTTCAGCGGAAATGAAATACAGGTATCACAGATATGAGATCTGGATATGCAGAGGAAAGAATAATGGAAAAGTGTCAGGGGCAGCAAAAGCAAGTGAGAAGTGAGGTGATTTATATTTATTGAACTAATGTCCAGTATCTCTTTGGCAGAGTTGAATAACAATCAATTGTTGGTGTCCTTTTTGTATATTCCACATTAGATGGGTGAAGAAATGCTGATATTCGATTATTGATTACAAAACAAGGTCAATTTATTATAACAGAAGTGCATTCGATTTGAGGGTACAACAAAATAAACAAATTCTGGAACCAGAGAATATATATATATTGCTTTTCCCTCTGAAAAAGAAGACAGGAGCCTTTCTGCTTGTATGATAAACATTCTTCACTCTGTTATGGAAGTCCTTTGTAGTAAAGATGCCGAATTATTCAAAAACAAATCATGTTTTTTTTTGTTTGTTTGTTTTTCTCCCTTTTCTCCACGTCTCACTGTAAATTCTAAAGTCTCTCTTTATATTTTGTGTTTTAGCCACGAGACCCAAACAACTTGCTGGGACCATCCCAAAATGACAGAACTCTACCAGTCTTTAGGTAAGGAGATGGCCATGTTTCCCGCAAGTTAAATGACAGATGGACTTAGGATAAAGTAGTTTCTAGTGTGCAAGTCATTTGCTTTATAAATATATCACTAGTTTGTTTCAAGGGTGAAAGCAATGGCAGCGTCCTATCCAAAATTGGCAATCAGTTTTCAGAGACTCCTTAAAAATAAGCTTTAGAAATTGCATTGATTCCTGAAAATTCAATATACCTGAGAGGGCCTAAAGGTCTTTGTAGTTTTTCTTTGCTGCCTAAAAGGATAGAAAAACACTTGCAATTTACGGCAGTTTTTTTTTTCCCCCATGAAGAAAGAATACTGTTTCAAGTTCTTATTGATTTCTTCCGTGTGAAACCAAGACAACAGTTCTGCCAAACCACGAATGTTGTGTAAAGGAATTTTCTGCCGTCTTCCCAGTGCTCACAATTCCTGAAGCCTGGCATGTCATCAGTGTGATAATTTAAATGATTTCTCTACTATGGCTTGTTTGGTATTTGCGTGAGACCCTGACAGGTTTGGGTTTTTTTCCTCCCTCATAACTTCAAACATTTTTGAACAGATACACTGCATACAAATAAGGGGAAAACATCAATCTTTTTAACACTTGATGAACGTCTAATCTGTCATTGTAGATCTGCAGGGAATATTCTGAATTTTAGATCTGTAGGGAATATTCTGAATGAATTCTCTTATATTGCAGCACGTTTTGTTGTTGTTTTGTTTTTTAGTCAAAAAAGTTAGTCATGTCTTCTACTTTTTAAAGTCTGCATTTTTGTGAATGAACATGTTTATAGATTAAAATCTTTGAGGTGATCACTTTGGATTTAAAGTTAAGAGATACAGTCCATGGGAATTAGGGTACTTAAACATAAATTCTAAATTCATATATGCTTGTGGAGTATGTGTATGTATGTGTAGCTATTACTGCTTTTCTGCCACAGGTCTCTTTAGCTAAAGATTTGTAGCTATGGGCTGGGCTCAGTGGCTCAGCCTGTAATCCCAGCACTTTGGGAGGTCAAGGAGAGTGGATTGCCTGAGCCCGTGGGGTAGAGAGACCAGCCTGGGCAACTTGGTGAGACCTCGTCTCTACAATAAAATAAAATAAATAGCCGGGCGTGGTAGTGTGTATCTGTAGTTCCAGCTACTCAAAAGGATGAGGCGGGAGGATCACTAGAGCCCAGAAGGTTGATGCTGGGGTTGCCGTGAGTGTGTGCGCCCCACCGCACTCCAGCCTGGGCGAAAGAGTGAGACACCAACTCAAAAAAAAAAAAAAGATTTGCAACTATAGAGACTCTAAGGAATAGGGAGGTTGATATTACCCAAAAAAGGGTTTTGTTCAACTTTTTTTCTAATTATAAGTGATTTCTTCTAGAAAACCCCAGAAATACAAATAAAAAGCATGAAAAAGAATAAAAGTCACTTATAGTTCTACTAGTCAGGAATATCCAGTACATTTCAAGTAATATTTGAGTCTAGTGGTATAAGTGTATGAACTTAAAAAAAATTAAGTGTATAAACTTAAAAAAAATTAAGTAATATTGGGATCAGCGAATCTTGGAGTGCTACATTTCCAGCCCCTACAGAATGTCTTTGGCTTATAATACTGGATTGTTTGTACCACAGGTGGAAAACTGGAATGCTTATCTTTTGGCAAATGAGAGAATGAAGGCTTCATCTGACGTGGGTAGCAGCTGTCCTGGGAAAGCTGGTCTTCCTAGTCCAGTACTCTCAGGACTTCTGATTGTTCAGGAGAAACTAGAAATCTGTCATCAAAGGACTAATTTAAACTTGCCTGAGGGCCTCCTGATCATAACTTGTGGTTTACACAGACTTAGTCCACTTGTAAATTTTCCTACTGTAATCACAGTACTCTCCAGTTGTAATCTTTTAATTTATTTTTTAAATAATTGTTATAGAATTGAAACCTATTCATATTTTTAAAGTTTAAAAATATAGATAAGCTAAGAAACAAAAAAGAAGAGACAAATTATCCATAACCTACCTATCAGAGTTAACTGATGTTTAATAACCTAGTAGATATCGTCAAAAAAAATTTTATATACATTTTCACAAACATTGAATCATTCTGTCTTATGACATTTTTTTCCCCACCTAAAAGCAATTACCATGGCCATATTTCCATTTCGTTGCAGAGAATTCTCTGCCGTTTACTTTCAATTACTCTGTAATGAGAAATTACAAATATGTTTGATGGAAAGCTAATTATGGACTATCAATGAATAGATGTTTGCACCTTTAATAGGAATTAAGTATACAGCTAGTTATTATATTTCTAAAATTTTTTCAGTAGTTTGGATGTGGTGGTAAGCTTAAAACTGATCAACTGTCAGGACTCGATTTTAAAAGATAATGGAATTTTACAGTTGCAGGGTATTTTAGAACTCATTTATTGAAAACTTTCTCTTTTATTAAATCAGCGTTATTGAGGGATACTTTGATAAAATAAAATGCAGTCATCATAAGTGTGTGATCAATTCCAGCCCTTTTAGAAATTCTATTTCTTGCTAGCCTAACAAGCATCTTGCAAATGAACTAGGTGTTGAAATTTGCTTTTCGGCCAGGCTCCGTGACTCAACCTGTAATCCCAGCACTTTGGAAGGCCGAAGCGAGTGGACTGCCTCAGCCCATGGGTTTGAGACCAGCCCGGGCAACTTGGCAAGACCTCATCTCTACAATAAATCAAAAACTAGCTGAGCGTGGTAGCACGTGCCTGTAGTTCTGGCTACTTGGAAGGCTGAGGCGGATGGATCACTGGAGCCCAGCAAGTTGATGCTGGGATGGCCGGCCGTGAGTGTGCCATTGCACTCCAGCCTGGGCAACAGAGTGAGACTTCTACTCAAAAAAAAAAAAAAAGATTAAATGCCAGTACCAGCACTGCCTTTCCCACTTAAAAAAAAAAAAAAAAAGCATAAAACTATAATATTCCAACGTTCATTGTTTCTTTGTTTATTTATTTTTGAGTCAGAGTCTCACTCTGTTGACCAGGCTGGAGTGCGATAGCACAATCATGACTCATCGCAGCCTTGAGCTTCTGGCCTCAAGTGATCCTTCGTCCTCAGCCTCTTTTTTTTTCACTATGTTGTCCAGGCTGGTCTCGACTCCTAGCCTCAGCAATCCTCCTGCCTTGACCTCCCAAAGTGCTGGGATTACAGGTGTGAACCACCACCACACCCAACTAACTCCAAAGTTTAAATATAAGCATAGCATACTGAAAAGCAACCTTGTATTAGTTTTTAAGTTTTACTTATTGGCTTGTATTGTCTTCTTTAAGAAATATCCTTTAGATCTAAGTTGCTATTTTGAGCTGGATGATATGGTTGGAAGCCTTCAACTGCTCTCAGTTCATGAAAGATATCATGAAAGCAGAAATGGTGCTGTGGTCTAGTGTGTCTAACTTGTGAGACCATATCTTGCCCCTCTTCCCTAATAGAACCTTAGCCTCATGTCTGCGGTGACATGCTGAAAATATGATGTTGCTTCTCCTCTCTGTATCCCCCCTCCAGACATATTGCTGCTGTAGAAGCTATAATGTTTCCTGATATGCATGAAAGGTTACACATTGCTAAATATGACCACTTCTTTTTTTTCTTTTTTTATTCTTTTTTCCATATGGCTATCGAACTATTCACTTTGTTTTTTGGGGTTTTTTTTTTTTTTTTGGTTTTTTTTTTAAACAAGGTCTTACTCTGTCTCCCAGGCTGGAGTGCAGTGGTGCAATTTTGACCCACCACAGCCTCCACTACCTGGCCTCAGGTGATCCTTCCACCTCAGCCTCCTGAGTAACTGCAACTATAGTCATGCACCACCGTGCCCAGCTAATTTCTTAAAAATTTTTTGTGTGGAGATGAGGTCTTGCTATGTTGCCTAAGCTGATCTTGAACTCCTGAGCTCAAACAGTCCTCCCTTCTTGGGCTCCCAAAGTACTGGGATTACAGGCATGAGCCACCATGCCAGGTCCCAAATATAACCACTTTTAAGGAGTAGTGTAATTTGCCAAAATCCCCAAGCACCCTGTTCAACACACGTTTATATACTTTTATGTTACCTGTCTCTCCCATAAAAGTATTCAGTCTTCCCACACACCCAGGGTTGGAACAGCATAGTATTATAAGCCAAAAACATTTTGTAAGAGCTGGAAAAGTAACACTTGAGCCTTAACTGATAAAATGATATAATAATATTGCTTGAAATATAATATTGGAAATCTCTAGTTAATAAATTCTATATACTTTTGTTTGTCATTCTTTTAAAACTGATTTTTTTTCTTTTCTTTTTTTTTTTGAGTTGGAGTCTCACTCTGTCACCCAGACTGGAGTGCAGTGGCTGCTCCCGGCCACTGTAGCCTCTACCTGCTGGGCTCCGGCAATCCTTCCACCTCAGCCTTCCAAGTAACTGGAACTACAGGCGCACGCTACCACGCCCGGCTAATTTTTTTGATTTATTGTAGAGATGAGGTCTCACCAAGTTGCCCAGGTGGGTCTCGAACCTGCAGGCTCAGGCAATCCGCTCACCTCAGCCTCCCAAAGTGCGGGATTACAGGCTGGACCACCGAGCCCGGCTAAAACTGATTTTCAACAATAAATTTATATTATTTAAAATCAGATATTTATCAAAAAATTTCTTCATCGGTACCCCCATTTTATTCCTTAGTGTCCTTTGTTAGCCATTGAGAACCTATGACAGAAAAGCACACATATAAAGACACTCACAGACACTCCACATACATATACATAATTTCTCATGGACTTTGTCAGGCAACCTTAAACACAAGGAGATCATCTCATGTGTTTTCAGTCTCTAAATATGTCCAATCACAAAAAAACAGACTTAGGAATTTTAGTGGCAGAGAAAAAAGGACTGACTTTTTTGACTTAAAAAAAGAAACTTGAAAATAATATAAGAGGATTAATATCAGACTATTTCTAACAAATATAAAATAGTCTTTTAAAGGATTTTTCATCAAATGCCAGAAATA